CCCCAAAACCCCAAAACCCCTTGAACGTTGCAGTAATACCAGTGTACATTCTTTATATAAAAATTATAATCAAATGCAGGATTAATAAATTTTGTTTTTATAAAAATGGAGGCATTTGATATATTCGTTAGAAATTACGATGATGGCAAGCCAATGATCACTCTTACAGTTAGTTCTAACACCTAAATATCAAAACTTAAGAAGTAATTTGCTGAGCAATGTGAGTACCAAGAAATATCTCAATGTCTGATTAATTTTCATAGACTCTGACCTATTTTACCCTGAAAAGTAATAATTTTGGCATGACGGGATAGCAATGAAAAGAGATTATATGACATTAGATGACTATGATGTTAAAGCTGGAGATACTGTTTACATTTAAGATATGGGTATCTAGGTATCCTACAGATTGGTATGTTATAATTGTGTTACAACTAATTTTTTAGTCAAAAATTTTGATAAACATTGGACCTCTAATAACTTTCACTCTGTTTAACTTCTATTGGTTCGATATTTATTCATTCTGTCTCAACGATCACAAATATGTGCACTAAAATTCTTAATACTCAAGAGCTCAGCAACTAGGAAACTAGATGGTATTTATTCACTTCGGAAAGAGAATTTATGAGTGCATTTTTGTGCATTACTTCAGCAAATCATCAAAATCTCTGAACAAACTTATTTGGGAATTCGGATATATATGGCTGTTCTTTGGCTTGGTTGTACCATTTTATTTATTCCACCCAGACTATAATGAGTCCTTATTGAAATCTATTTTCTATGAGGACCATATTCCTCAAATCTACTTCTTTTTATTCTTAGCCTTCATTTTCTTCGAAGTTATGAATTTCTTCTGTCATGTACACTTAAAATCCTTCAGGGTAAGAGACCTAGACACTACCAGAGGAATCCCGAGACTTCATGGCTTCAGTTACGTTTCATGTGCCAACTACTTTTATGAAATACTAGCATGGGTATGCTTCGCAATTGTTACACAAACCTTAATGTCTACAACATTTTTGTTCACTAGTTTTTTCAGAATGAATAGTAGAGCTCAGAAGAAGCATCTTAGATACATCGCCGAGTTTAAAAATTATTATCCCGCAGAGGAAAGAAGAGCTTTTATTCCTTTTCTGTTTTGAGTCAATTTTAATCTAAGACCAATTCTCAATTAATTTCAAATTAAATAGCAAGGGGTTTTGGGGTTTTGGGGTTTTGGGG